TACACTGGCTGTCTTTATCTGAATCTGTTCATGTGTATGCGATAGGAGGGCTAGGTCATCTGCGAAGTCCAGATCGTCTAATTGGTTCTGAGCTGTCCATTGTATTCCGTGTTTTCCTCCAGATGTCGAAGTCTTCATAATCCAGTCAACCACCAGAAGAAAGAGGAAGGGAGAGAGTAAACAGCCTTGTCTGACTCCGATCCTTACTTGTAATGCATCTGTCAGCTGTCCTCCATGCACTACTTTGCACTGTATTCCGTCGTATGAGTTCCGGATAATATTGACAATCTTCTCAGGAACTCCGTAGTGTCGAAGAAGTTTCCATAATGTCCTCCTATCTACACTGTCGAATGCCTTTTCATAATCAATGAAGTTGATGTATAGTGATGAGTTCCACTCAACTGATTGTTCGACGATGATCCGTAGTGTTGCAATTTGGTCTGTGCACGACCGATCCTTTCGGAATCCAGCTTGTTGATCTCGAAGTTGGGCATCTACTGCATCCTTCATCCGGTTCAGCAACACTCTGTTAAAGACTTTCCCTGGTATTGACAATAGTGTAATGCCTCTCTAGTTCTCACAGTTGCTCAGATCTCCTTTCTTTGGAATCTTGATGAGGTGTCCTTCTTTCCAGTCGATCGGCACTTGTTCCTCCTCCCAAATCTTTTTTGAATTGAAGGTGAACCATTTTTGTACTTACTTTGATGTCTGACTTCAGTGCTTCAGCTGGTACATTGTCGGGTCCTGCTGCTTTCCCGTTCTTGATTTGTCTGATGTCCATTCTGATTTCTTCCGTCGTTGGTGGGTTGACATCTATAGGAAGATCTGTGTGTGCTGCTTCGATGTCCGGTGTATTCATTGGAGCCGGCCTATTCAGGAGTTCCTAGAAGTATTCTAATTATCTGTTCCTCTGTTCTTGAATTTCAGTAATTGGCCTGCCTTCTTTGTTTTTGACTGGTCTCTCTGATATACTGTATTTCCCTACTAGTTACCAAAAAAAATCATCCAAACAAAAACCCCTGATATTATTTATTCATTTGAACACATAAATATCGGTACAAAGGGGCACCGAATTCATATGCGCTACACAAGTTACTTGATTTGTGGAATAAAATGGACAGGTTGGATGCAACTAGGTGATTTGACTTAGAAGATGACCTCGCTCTTCTATCCTATACACACGAACAAATACAACTAGTGTAGCAACAGTCTCTGCATCAATGGGCCTCAAAATACACAAAGGAAAAAGCAAGCTCCTCAAACACAATTCGGAAAACACCAATCCAATCATACTTGATGTAAAAGTCCTGTAAGATGTGGAATCTTTCACGAACTTGGGAAGCATCATCGATGAAAGTGGAGGATCTAATGTAGACGTAAAGTTGGGGATTGGCAAAGCAAGGGCTGCATTCCTACAATTCAAGAACATATGTAACTCAAAACAACTGTCAGACAATGCAAGTCAGAATCTTCAATGCGAACGTCAAGACAGTTCCATTGTACGGAGCTGAAACATGGCGAACTGCTACAATCATCATCAAAAGAGTACAAGTATTTATAAACAGTTGTGTAAGCGAGATACTCAATATTCGTTGGCCGGTAATCATCAGAAACTCCCTACTGTGAGAGAGGACAAACCAACCTCCAGCTGAAGAGGAAATTAGGGAAAGACGTTGGAAGTGAATAGGACATACGTTACGGAAATCATCAAGCTGCATCACGAAGCAAGCGCTAACTTGGAACCTTGAAGGGAAAAGGGGAAGAGGAAGGTCGAAGAACACACTACACCGGGAATCAGAAGCAGACATGGAAAGGATCAATAGCAACTGGAAAGGATTGCTCAAGGCAGGGTTGAATAGAGAGTGCCGGTGGGCAGCCTATGCTCCTCTACGAGGAGTAACAGACGATGGTGATGAAGTTAATGATTGTGACAGGTCATTTATTTTTCATAGAATCAAAGAGTGGTAGCGCTCAGAACCTAAAACTCGTTTTGAGCACGATGTTAAGTTGATCAAAGATCTACTAAATGAACTAATGCCACAGGATATCTCCAGAGTCACCTTGCTAAATTTGTTTAGACTAGATAGCCAAATGAACTTGAAACAGGATCAGACCAGGCTGCTTAATGTAATATTCAAATCTACCAATGAACGGAACTTAATACTACAGAATGGACACAAACTTAATGGGCAAGAAATGTTTGTCCGTAAGGATTTTCCGTTCGTAGACGGTGTGAAAAGGTGAGAGGCCGAAAAACAACTAAAACTTTGGTTGGATGCTAACGAAAAAGACAAATAATTTTGGGTTTTAATGCCTCAACAGGGAATGATGCCGAAGCCGCTTCGGGTGCATCATGGAGTCATTTAATTAAGCTTTGATCCTGCTATACAAATGCCCAAAGCTTGTTGAACAAGCGAACGGGATTAGGCTTATCAAGCCGAATGTAACGACAGTCACAGAAATTTGGTTGACGCAGCCCACTGACAGTATGGAACTCGATTTTGAAGGTCTCACGTTAGTAAGAACCGACAGAATCCGGAAGCATGAAGGAGGGGTTACTCTATTTATCAGGATTACTATCCCACTTGCCATTAGCGACAGTGTATCCCATGAGAGTGAATTAGCTAGTTGCCGCTTAAAATGCAAGGGACAAAAAACGGTGAGCTGTGAGGTAAATGAAGTCTTGTTAAATGGTTTCAGTACTTGGTTATATAGTGATCAATGTCTAATCATAGAACACTTTGACGCACCCACAACGGACTGGAAAAACCTGAGCATTGAATTGTCAAAAAATACCTTCGAACAGGAACTAGCTGATGCGGTTATCACATGTGCCCAAGTGCAACATGTGAAAGAAGCGACTATGTAGGATCCGAACTTTGAATCCTCCTTACCACATATTGACCCATTATGAGGATGACGTCACAAAACTCGATTACACGCCACCCTCAGGTAGATGTAATCATAAAGTTCTAATCCTTGATTTTCATACAGCTGTCAACGACGGACAGGCGTCGGCCAAACCCAGACTTTACGTCCAAAAAGAAAATACAGAACATTTTATGTACTTAGCATCGTCAGTAGATTGAACGATAGGGCCGGAGACCCAGTTGTATTTCGAAATTTGTACTTAAAAGTTACTGCACCCCACATCACTTGGACATCACCATGTGGTCCAAGAAACTCTCCACCATGGTTCAGTAGGGAAGTTCTCACCCTTCTGTGTAGGAGAAGAATGCACGGAAGATTGAAGTTAATGGGTGCTGATGAGGCAAAATATCAATATCGTGAAGCTAGGAATGTTTGTGCCTCGACTCTCCGTGAGTCTTGAAGGTTATACGGAAAAAAATTGTTAAAGAATCCATAGAATGCTTAGACGCTTGTATTCGTATATATACCAAATGACTAAGAGAAGAAGAAATATCCCAGCACTGTGGGGCGACAGCAATGCTTCATCTTTAGTGGAGGGCGACTATGGTAAAGCTCAAGTATTATCAAACTACTCGAGCAATGTGTAAACCGTAGGGATACACCGCTAGTTCATACAAATCCTCACACAAATACAATGGACAATGTGGCCATTAAATAACTTGATATCTTTGTCTGCAAAATAAACTTAGTATAAGCAAACCCACGGGACCCGATGAAATGCACCCCAGGTTACTCAAGGAACCAACAAATTTCGGTACGAACCCCTTGAGCATATGTTTTAATCTATCCGTAACGCAGGATCGATTACCAAAAGACTGGAAGAACGCCATGGTAAGTCCTGTCTTCAAAATAGGTACGAAACATATATCTCAGAACTACCGACCAGTTGGCCTGACTAGCGTGGTTTTTAAAATACTAGAAAGGATTATTTAGAAGGAGCTGTTTATGTATCTCGATGAAAACTGGATTCTTTCTGAAAAGTAGCACGGCTTCACAGTACATAATTCCTATCTCATTGACTTATTAGTAGCTCGTGAAAATTGGTGCCCTCTGAAAGACAAAGAATTACGAACAGACGTTCGATCAACTGAGCTTACACCACTTCCAGGGCAAACCCAGGCCATCTAACCTGCTGTCCTTTCCAAACCGAAACTGATTATCCATACAGTGCGCATTTTAGTCCCGATATATCAAGTTTGAAACCTGAATATCCACCAAAAATAAATCAGAGTTTCATCCAATACATCATGAGTATGTCTATTATCTATGCTAAAGATCAAATTGCTAAATGTTATAGCCACTGATAGGGGGAACTGGTTTGTTTGACTGCACCACTGCAGGGTCGTACTTATGGACATCAAGGTTAACATCGATGGAGTACTCAGAGAAGTGTGTGGGATTAATGAAGGAACAACATGTGAAGAAGTGATTTTTAAGCTTGCACAGATTGCTAGTTTGCCTGGATTCTATACTCTGGTTGCCAGCTGCAGAGATAAAGAAATTACACTATCTCCAGAGGAGAAAATTATAAATTTTATTAAAGAGTATGATAATTTGTCTAGTTAAAAACTAATTATCATTTAAAGCACAAATAAGTTAACCTTAGTGCTGATTTTGACTTTAGTTTTATATGTTTTTGAGGTAGCGTATTCTGGTTTGATCAGCATTTCTTTAAAATAAGCCTAGTAATTTGCTCAGTAACGTAACCTCCAAATGAACTTACATAAGATTTTACTATTTTCTAACAGTAATCTTTCTTGTGAACCTGAAAATTTATCAGGAAGTAAACTGGCTTCTTTTCTCTATCCTTTTAGAAAACCGAGTAGTAGGTTTTAGACATATTACTGTCGTCTTATAGAAAAGAATGATAAATTCGAAGGTTCTGCGGGTATTTTCTGAAAACTTGTGGAGTGGATTATTATAAACAGAACTAAAGGAGTAATTTCATAAAACAGAGCTCAAATAAACTCATTCTTCATCTTTTGTAGGTCTCCCTGGTAAACAACATTTGTTACTGAATTTTCCCAGAAACTTGAGAGATCTTGGCAACCAACTTCTATTCATATTCAATGGCACTCACTCAATACAGTTTGTTGTAAATTTCTACTCCAATAAATTTGATTGCCTTACATTCCTCCCACCATATTAGATTCCCCTTTGTCTCAGTAATCGTTAGACGAATGCATCTTGAAAAACCGAAATAATTCCATACACCAGGATACGAATTATGACTGTTGTTCGAGGGTTGATTAGTTGAGTTAATATAGGTATGGAGATATGAAGTGACCAACTTCTGACCTCTGTCTCAGCTTTTCCGTTCTATCAAATACAAGTTATTAAAGTTTAATAGTTGGTGGAACAAGCAACTAAAAGGAGTAAATTGTGATTGAATCTCCATGCATTGCTAACAATCCAAGTAATGCATTTCTCAGAAAACTAGATTACATGAATAGAATTATCCAATTTTTTTCTTCTAGAGGGAATTCCTTAAAAATTTCAGTTCCACTAAGGGAGGTTTCGCGGAATATATTTCTGAAGATTGATATGCGCAGTTAGATCAGTTATGACTCATCACAACTTTGGACTATGTTGAAAAAAATTATTCGGCGATGACTGAGTGACTTGGTGTTTGTTTGTCGACGACTGAGTTTCAAGTACATGAAACCGTTTAACGAATACATCTAGTTATTATTAGAACTGACAAAATGAAAATTTTGTCAAACTTCACGGCTGAATCACACTTAATAATATTATATCTTAGCTTTATTTTTCAATTTTCTGTGTTGAGAACCTTTTTCGTAACCATCGTGTTGACAATTTTCAGTAGAACAAATATGTTTGAAGGAAAAACGTTTCTGGTGCCTTGATTGTAAATCCTTAAATGTTCATAATTTAGTGCCATTCGATACAGTATAATATGCTTTTTCAAGAACCTCATCTGTAAGTACTTTTTCTGTCTACACGAGATAATGAGTAGCTTTTTAATCGATAACGTACCCCGACAGATACATTTTTTGTGGTAGATAGCTTACAGATATAGTAAATTAATTAAATCAAGTCACTGACCAAGTACTTTAGCATGAGCCGAAATTGAAGTGTAAGGGCTATTAAGACGACCCACTGATGGCTTCTCGTGAACTCATCCTATCAGGCCCTGAACACGATGAGGAGCGAAAACAAATCAGATCTAGGTTAACCAAAAGTCTCAGGAACGACCGTCAGCAGTGGTGGACAACGAAAGCAAAAGAGATGGAAAAGGCAGCGACTATAGGGAACACAATACAGCTCTACAGACTAATAGAAGAAACTGGGATTAATAAGTCAAGTATAATTCAGACTATTTCGGAAAAGGACGACACTCTTATCTGCTCCCAGTCCAGACGTTTAGAACAATAGGCGGAACATTTCAGAGAACAGTTCAACTGGACTTCAGCTACTCTACAACTACCCTCCATTCCCAGACACTGTGAATGGAACATTGAAGTAGATCCCCCAACTCTAGCTGAAGTTCAAAAGGCTATAGTTAATCTGAAACGAGGAAGGGCAGCTGGTCCAGATGGATTGGCTCTAGAGGTCTTTAAGGATGGTGTTCTAATTTTAGCGATTAGGTTGACTAATATTTTAGCTAAGATCTGGGAGTTAGACGTTATTCCATCTGACTGGTCACAATCAATTATCGTCCCAATATATAAGAGAGGGTTAAAATCATCCTATGACAACCATGGAAGGATTATTTTAACTAATATAGTATCTAAAATACTAGCCTCGATAATTATCGGTCGCCTAACTAAGACTCGTGAACTGCAAACACGAGAGAATCAAGCTGGCTTCAGACCTGGTTGTGGTTGCATCGACCACACATCCACCATTCGTCAGGTTCTAGAACATAGGCATACTTATCGGCGTCCGACAATGATGGTCTTTCTTGACTTAAAAGCATCATTTGACTCGGTAAACCGCGAGATTCTGTGGCAGTGTCTATCATTGAAAGGCGTACCACAGTAGTACATAAACCTTGTGAAGGCTCTTTACTCGAACACTATCAGTCGAGTCAGAGCTTATGGCGAACTGTCATCTGCTTTTGCAACTTCAAGTGGTGTCCGTGAAGGCTGTCCGCTTTCTCCATTTTTGTTTAACTTCATCATAGACCTACTGATGGAAATAACATTGTCGTCGACTGAATTCTCGGGTATTGACCTCCTTCCAGGAGGTCCACTTATCGACTTAGAATACGCAGATGACATAGTCCTGTTTGGTGAAGACGCTGACAAAATGCAGAGTCTTTTGGTAGCACTAAGCAACAATGCCAGAATGTTTGGAATGCGCTTCCCTCCCTCTAAATGCAAGTTGTTGCTTCAGGACTGGTCTGTGTCAACACCTGAACTAAGGATAGGGAGTGAAGTAGTCGAACGCGTTGACAACTTCACTTATCTAGTTTGAGATGCTGAAGTAGTCCTAAGACAGCTCTTTTCTCAATAATCGCAAGATCCATCGATAAGGAGTGAAGTAGTCGAAGGCGTCAACAACTTCACTTATCTCGGAAGTCTGATCAGCCTTAATGGGTTGATGTCTGACGGAATCTCTACCCGGATTCAAAAAGCTCGTTTGGCTTTTGCCAACTTACGTCACTTATAGCGAAGGCGAGATATCCGTCTCAACTAAGGGACCAGTATACATACAAATCATGTAGCGCATATATATTCGGTGCCTCTTTGTACCAATATTTATGTGTTCAAATAAATAACCAGTATACCGCACAGCAGTTCGTTCTGTTTTACTTTACGGCTGCGAAACGTGACCATTAATGGTAGAGGATACTCGTAAGTTACTAGTATTTGACTACAGATGTCTTAGAAATATTGCTCGCATCTGCTGGGATCACCGGGTAAGTAATTGTGAGGTCAGACGCATGGTATTAGGGGATAATGGTAAATCGGTTGATGAGGTTGTGAACCTACATCGACTGAGATGGTTGGGCCACGTGTTGCGTATGTCTGAACACCGATGACCACGACGCGCAATGCTGACTAGTGTTGGAGACGGTTGGAAGAAATTTAAGAGCGTCCAAATCAAAACGTGACATCATTCCATGAAGTCACTAACTTCTGATCTGAGCCATGTTGTTAGATGCAGACTATTTGGTTGGGGTCCGCGCGGCTATCGTAACCAATGGTTCGAGACTCTGTGTGACAGCTTAGAATCAATCACAATGGCGTAGGTGTATACACTCTTTGTTTTCCCTGAAACCGTGAGATTAGAATTATGTTGTTACTTTTCTTTCTACGAACTAATTCTTTCTCTCTGTATCATATTTTTATATGCAATCTTTGTTTATATATTAGTATCATTTGAGTATCTGCTTCTGCGAATTTGGTGTTCATTGTGTTGTGCTAATGAGGTATGGCAACCTGGACCGATGCACATATGTGCCTGGTCCTACGTTGTAGCTGACTGACTTTATTAGTTATATCAAAGTCATATTCTGCTAAGCCTAATTTTATTCTATTTGCTTATGTATCTGGATTACACGTTTCTCACTATTGTCCTGTAGTGTAGAAATGCTAATTAGCTTCTGAAAATATTCATCACCACATAAGCGGAATATTTACAAATTTTTCATTGAAGTTTTATAGAAAAGAAATGATCCAACAAATTTTCAGCTTTTTAACCACGAAGCTAACTAAAATCAGTATAACTTACTGGCCAAGTTCAGTTTCATGCACTGAGTTTTGAGTTACAGTTATTTTGTTTATATTTTAATGCTAGAGCACGTTTTCAGCTAATGATGAGAGCCTGAGACAAGCGCGATCCCATCTACTCACGTTCGGGTTCGTGCGATAACCGTGACCTGTGGTGCCCCCAAATGTACTGGTTGGTTGGGCAGTTTAGTTGACATGGTTTGGAATCTTTCATAACAGTGCAGATTCACCCACTCGATCTTCCCCTCGATCTTCAATTGCAGTATTTCTTCATACATATCTTTTCATTCGGTCTTTATGCTACGAAAGTTTTCCGATTTGGTTAGACGAAATTTTCGATTGTCAAAATAGATGAATAGAATTCTAATGAATAGATTAACCCAATACTTTAGTGACCGGGTGATGACTACTCATGGAACTGTATTATCAGAAATCAAAGACCATTACCCAAGACGAACAGCTTTTTCATTTAATAAGATAACACGCTTATATACAAAATATAAACAGGACCAAATGTCATAAGTGATCGAATAGAACTGACTTGTAGTTCAGTTGTTTTCATATCAACATGGACCTGACTTTTAGGCTGAATCTTTAAAGTATTGTACTACTTTTCAAAACATAATCTCAATGCTCAATCTTTCTTAATGTCATCGCTACCATACTATTTCGATTTCTTTTGTTATTGCTATCTCGTCATGGTGATGTAGTATGGCGAATTGAGCCAGTACACAACCCTAATAGACTCTATGTTGATAATTCAATTGGTGTCACCATCTTGAAACACCGACTTCGGTGGCTTGGACATGTTCTCCGAATGTCGTCCCAGAGAATTCCACGTCGTGCATTATTTGCCGACTCTGGGACTGGTTGGAAGAAGCGGAGAGGTGGTCAGTGCATGACATGGTGTCGTGGCATGAAAGAAAGCTGCAAAGGACTGGCTTCTGTCGGTCCTTCACGACTCCCTGGTTGGGGTCCGAGAGATGGTGCTACGCAGTGGCTAGAGACGTTATCAGATATGGCTCTTAATAGAAGCCAGTGGCGATCCTGCTGTAACCTTCTTTTACTTTCTTCATAAAAAGTGGTTATGTCTCCCTTACCTGGAAGATTTCTTCTGATTGTACCTCGTTGCTACCACACTACTTTACACCAATCTCTTCGTTATTGTTCTCTTTTTCTTTTGCGCTCCTTAGTTTTTTTTCTATTTCTCTTCGCATTCACATTGTTTTGTGTGGCGCATATATATTGGCGCTCTCTTGTACCAATATTTATGTGTTCAAATAAATAAATAAATAAACTATGTTGATGATGATTGGCAGTCCACAGTCCATTTGACTCATCAAAATCAATATTTTAAACCTGAGCCATTTTCTTCTATAAAATTGACACTGGTGTATTCTGTGCCGCTTGCACTGTGAGTTTGTTTTAAAAATTTTCAGAACTAAAGAAAATCCATCTAATATATGTTTTATTCTTCGTCGATTGGAGGCTGTATCTCCTTTCTCTCCGAAAATCCCCAAAGCATATCCTCCTATTCCCAATCATCAACCGACAAGTCGTCCTCATCAACAGTCCTCTCGTAGTTCATCACGACGTTCTAATGTTCCAGTGACATCTGAAAATAAAGAATTATATTCCTCTACTTCATCATCCTTACCGATTCCAGCTCAGCAATATGCTAGCTCTGCAAAGCAATCAAGAATTTATCGTTGTGATCCTAGTCATGAACTAATTCATTCTACCTTAGTAACCAGTGCTGCTGGTGAAGAAAAATCATATCACGGTACGCTATTCATGTTGAGATTGAACTTTACAGAACTTATATTTGTTTTACATTACTTTTTCAACAATCATATTTAACTTGAGATCATAAATCGATTGATTTTAGATCACCATGGAAAACTTGGAAGCATTGGACGGCCGTCTCGTCATAGTATGAGACTCCTTATCAGTGCGCATTCACAATCCCACACGCAGGACTCAAACCCAGGACCTTCGGTCTCGTACACGAATGCTCAAATTCGAGACAATTGAGCCGGTATCCAACGGTGTTAATGTCTAACTTCAACCAATCCACGAAATGGCACGACCATCTTTCATTGTATTGAGGTAGATACTTGTCTCTACCTGACATAAATTAGCTCCACTGGTCACGTCTTCTCACTAGAACTGCGAGGACTCCCTCACGAAGCTAGTCACTAGTGAGCACATGGTAATTACCAGTATGAGGAGTCCCATACTAGGACGAAACGGCCGTCCAGAGCTTTCAGGTTTTAAATGATGATCTAACATCAATTGATTCATGATCTCAATCAAAAACTTGATAATATCCAGAACGCCATAGCGATAATCATATTTTAGTCTGCTTCAAATTCTTCGCATTTTACTACCTACAAATCCAATCAATTCACGGTAAATCTGTCCATTAAAGTGCATCTTTTTAATATCGATTTTCAAATACAAATTCAGCCTAAGAAAAACTTAAGAACGGTCAGACACTGAAATGAATACTGTTGAGTAATATGAATGTTGGATTAGTAGTTAAGGTAACTATGTCTCAGGTTCTAGCCCCGCCTCAACTTCGGATTATAGCAACCAGTTAGTATCAATGACCCTCACATTTAGAGTGTGGTTCATGTTCAAATACCTGGCAAATAAATCTATCTATTAGTATGAGTGGATAAATATCTGCTTGTTTTCCAATATATCTCTATACTTTATGTATTACCACTCATACTAATCTAAGTTGTAGTCGATCGAAATGGTCAGTAACTACTCTTTGCATTTCTATTCACGTACAATGTTAAAGTTCGATATTTTTCTGTTTTCTCAGGACTGGATTATTTCTTTTTTTATATTATGGCATGGTTTACAAGATTCACAAAATATCCTTACATTTTGTCCTCCCTTTCTACAAGTTTTATAAACTGAAGATATTGTCCTAGACGTGTATTCTCGAAGACCATATATAGCTGATGGTCACACCTTTTTGTTTTAAACGTTACACTACTCATGAGTAGCTTAAAATTATTAGTAAAATTGATTCGCAGTGCTATAGATATTCCAATGTAGTAACTTTCTAGCATGCAACAAAAGTCGTAAGCCATTGGCATGGCATATGAAAGTAAGAAAAGAGGTTTTTCAATTCTGGTCAAGCTCGCAATAATTTATTTTCATGGCATTTTGGAGAATATTCGGTATGTATGTTGCGAAGATCGACAGATGTACATAAAAATAAATAACTGTTGGTTGACATTATTTTATTTATTTATTTTAACACATAGATATTGGTACAAGGAGGCACCGAATACATATGCGCCACACAAATCTCATTCGATATGTTTGAGGGCTGTGAACTGCTCGGGTGCCCAAACCGAACCAGGTGGTTTTCTTAGGGGGCCACTCCTCGAGCCTTCGCCCTGAAGGTCTGATCCACAAGGCAGTGGAGCATTGTAAGGAGGTGCAGTCCCATGGAAGCCGATGACCAACAATTGGTTCATACGTCATTTGTTCCCGCAGGACACCGGAGCCAATGTGTACCATTGGTTTGGAATCAGGGTTTTCCAACTCCCCTAAGTGAACTCTCTATGTCCACCAACCCGGTCAAAGCGCCGGACATTCGTTTTTCGTCCTCTCAATTTCGTAAACAACACCCGTGGTGCGAGAAGGCAGTAAGTAGGACTTCCCTGGCAGAGGCTATATACGCGTGGCCATGTGAGAGCATTTCGAGAGGGAGAGCTGACTCTCCCCACTCTCGGCCGTACCAGGGCATTTGGGGTTGACAATTCATCACAAAGATTATGAACCGTTTCCATAATGACACGTTTATTTTTTTAGTAAGATGTAATTTAATTTCAATATAGATAGAGCAATGAGAAGCCTTGGTGTTATAATCTCTTTCTTACGGTTATGACCCAGCTATTCCTATTGCTTAGTATTCTTGGACACCGATTCACTCGATAAGTCCCCAAATCAGAATACGGTTGAACAGGAAAGAGACTATATTCCAAATAACAATGTTAGATGGAAGTAAGAGGCACAATAGGGAAAACGCTAGTAAATTTTTTTTAGTTTTTACATGAGAAGATTCCAAAGCATTCTCACAGTATCGGCAAGTGCTGATTGGATAAGGATTAGCCAATCAGCGTGCACCAAAGCAATCGTGCATTAAGCATGCTTTAATCCAGTCTATGGCCCGATAACACTTGGCTATTCGGAAATTCAAACTCCCCTTTTTATGTGTATAGAAATGACGTGTCGTAATTTTGAATTTGCCTTATTAATATTTAAGCCCTTTAGTGTGCTAGAATGGTGTTGCGATTCCCTATTCATTCTTTATTATGTTAGTTTTTCTCTTTCCTTTACTTACGATCATCACGTTATTTTTAGTTGACCTTCATCAACTTTTATAAATGCAGATTATTCAAAACATATGAGAGGATATACATCACGTTTTAGATCACCTCTGTCCTCTCATTGCTCTGTCAAAATTTATAGAAGAGACTACTTACTTTGGGTTTTGATATGTGGTTTTGTGAACATATAAACTACTTTTTACGTATGCTTTCACGTTTGTTTTGGAAGATCGATTAAGAGAACGTTGTAGAGTGAGTAAAATAGTTGGATATTAGTCTCAGTGATCAAGGCGTCCGATTTTTAGCAACTAAGTCCTGGTTTTGAACCCTGCCACACATATTCCTGCTTAAATAAGTAGGTAGTATAAATAGCCCTCGCATTCAGTGTGGCCCACTCCCAAGTAGCTGGTGAGTGATTTAATACAATTTACATTAATTTATAAATAGTGATGTAAAAGAATTTTTACATTTAACTGACAAGTGCAAAAAATAGGAAGAGATGTGCGTCCTGAATTTCACTCCTAATCACAATCCCAACTGACTAAACTTTCTTAAATGCTTAAAACAACACTTCAAAGTCAAACCAGTCACCACAACAAGTTCAATGTGTATTAACCGTATATTGATAAAATTCATACCGTTTATCATACACTTCACTCTTGTTTCCGACTTTCAAATTTATGAGAACAAGCTAGGTATGGAGTGTGGTTTGTCATTTTTTCCTTGCGTTAAACATTTATAGTTTGTAATGACCGATACTTCAAGAAAATTTATCAAATGAGTTTTTGTTTGCTCGTTGAAAAATGAAATTCCACTATCCGCCCCTCAATCTATTTACATTCTAGGAATTATAACGTATGGCGATAAATTAAATATGCCTTAAATTATATCATTAGTAAAAAAAAACAGTTTATGTAGACATCATCTGACTGATTAAAATGAATCAAACATTGAAAGCTGTGTAATGTCTGAGTTTTTAAAAAATGGACAATCGAAAAGTGTAAGTACATCTCTCTCTATTTACACCAACCTCCTACAGATGAAAACCATTATTGACTCTTAAATAATAAATCTATGATTCAGCACCGAGTACATAAACCTGTACTTGATGAGGGAATTAATATTTGTATACTTTTTCACTAGTATACAAATCTTCCTGAAGGTTGTTCAATTTTATGATTTACATTACGGACTGAACGTAAACAACTATTGTTGACCAGGAAGCTCCGAACAGTTGTTTCATCTTAGTAAGGAACTCCTTAGAAGCTCGTATCCACGACTTCACCAGAAACCACAAATAGGATCTTCAGATCCAGCTGCAAGCGTTCAGATTTCAGACCATTGATTAGTTTCAATCGACTCACGATACTGCACAACAATCTCCTAATTACTTGAGACTCGATATGGTTAAACTCTACTAGCTACAGTTTCACACTAGAACTCTGAGAATCCCCTCTCGAAATAATTTACTAACTAGTACATACATTTCCTAACTATATAAATGTATAGCTATTTACGATTTGTGACTGAAGACTGGACTTGATGTTTGCTGACCGATCAAGATTGATGACCATGTTTTTTTCTTTTAGATGTTGATCAATATAATCAACTTAAAGATCAATTGGCATATCAAGAACAACAAGTTGAACTCAATCGGATACGGTTGCTTCGATTAGACAAGGGTAAACATTTTGATTAAATGGATTGATTTTTTTTCAAATGGTATTTTACAACAATAATTTGAGGAGATCAACTTGGATGATGTATTCAGTGTTCATGTTTAAAACCTTAGAGATAGACAAAGTGGTGTAATTCTAATTAATATAGGGATAAGTTAATTATGATCAAGAAAACAATTTTCATTCTTTCTTTTTTGCATGAAACCCAAAAATGAATCAGTTAGAGCACCATTAAAGAACTAGAAGCACTAAACGGTCGTTTCGTCCTAATATGGGACTCCTCAGCAGTGCGTATCCGCGATCCCGCGCGCGAACACTTAGCCTCTAGACTACCAATCCACGGAATCACACGACCATCTTCCATTGTCTTCGGTGGGTAACTGCCTCTCACCCGATACAGATTAACTCCACTGGTCACGGATGAAGTTAGACATTAATACCGTTAGATGCCGGATCAATAGTCTAGAGATTAAGCGTTCGCGTGCGGGATCGTGGATTTGCACTGCCGAGGAGTTACCAGGACGAAACGGTCGTCCAGTGCTTCCAAGTTTTCAATGGTGGCCCAACATTGATCGATTAGTGATCTCAATCAAAACTCAACAATCTCCACAATCCTACATTGAATCAGATTTATTTTGTGACATTCGATATTTTTGAAATACTAATGTGATGATTGGTTGTCTAGGTTGAATGATTCTATAACGTACACGATTGTTACGCACTAATACTAGATAATCCACCCAAAACGATTAATCATCTCATATATTAAAGCAATCAAAAATATGTTATTACCAGCCTGAATAACATAAAGCGCTCTATCATTAAAAATTAATATGTTTACAAAAATATCTATCGCAAAATACACATAATTATCTCTCCACACTAATTATCCAACCAAGATTATTGAATATACGTATCAACATCACATCAGAAGAAAAGCTGTAGGAGTCACGTGTGTGTATAGTGCTCAGAACATTTTAAGTTGTTAAGGTTTGGTGTGAGGGAATTCTTTTATATCACCGTAGAGTAAAAATGACAATGATAATAGGTAAACATGTGCACAGCAGTAGATATCACCTCATTGGTGGTCTAAAGGTTAAGACGCACTGATGATTACATACTAAGACGAAACAGCCGACCAGTGCTTCCAGGTTTTCAATAATTGTATAGCTAAGACCACTTCGTGTGTTAAGCGACGAAAATGTTCAACGTGCCAAATCTTTACTGTTTTCCATGTAAATTAGACATATTATGAAAGCCCCCGACCGTTGTTGCTACGTTGACGTGGTAGTCGAGCTTGCCTATCGTGATGAAGCAACCGAGCTATACTGGTTGGAACAACCGTTCCTCAAGGTCCTACCATGTCAGACAGGTCGGTTGAAGAGCGGTAAGACTAAAAGCAACAAACCCAAGGTCCGAAGGCGAAGTCGTACTGCTGACTGTACAGGGGTGTGACAGCAGTAAGGTGTTTCCTTCAGACAACCAGCATGAGAGCGATGCTGCCTTCCCACAAGGAGGGGCGGGGTTAGAAAAGGTCGACCCTAAAAATGCACCCCTCGCCTTATCCCACGGATATCCGTCTCCGACGGTAAAGTCTCAACAAGTGCAGAGCCTACACAAAAATTACCCATAAAAAGGTCGTGTGTGACCGACCTCAAGCAGTTGTCCCTTGGGCACTTCGGTCACGCTCTCAGGTCGTTAAGACCATCTCTAATCCTATTTCTTTTTCAGGTACCTCCAGAAGAACCCTTCCACGGTGTGAGCAACCGGGAAGTGATAACCACCCTTATACCTCTAACAGCACTTAAGACCACTGTATTCATAATCAACCTTCCTCTTCAATTCCTATTATTCCTCCTACATCGACTTTCACCTCTAAACTTCCTTTTTCGGCTTCCTCCTCAAGTGTCACCATAGCCAACGATTCTAGTGCTCAAAACACTGTCCCAGATCTACTGAAACCTCACTCCAAACTACACATTGGAGCCTTCAACGTACTCACCCTATGTCAAATCGGTCAACAGGCTTCCCTGGCTAGAATCCTAGAATCTCGTACCATTGATGTATGCTGTGTCTCTGAAACACGCATACAGGCCCCCAGTGTGGTCATTCACTTGACCTCACCTCGGCAAAACGGAGAGCCAACGAGATACACCCTCCGTGTGTCTGGTGACCCGACGGCCAGCTCTCGTGGACTGGCAGGAGTAGGGATAGCACTAAGCATGAGGGCGGAACAAGCACTGTTGGAGTGGATCCCCATTAACAGTCGTTTATGTGCTGTTCGGCTGAACGGCTCCGTAAGAACTCGGAAAGATAGGGACACACGTCGTTGCCGTTTCGTCGTTTCTGCCTACGCTTCCACCAAATGCAGCTCATATGAAGTGAAAGATGAATTTTACAGAAAGCTGTCCGAACTTCTTCAGAAAGCTAAACGTTCAGACATAGTACTCGTAGCAGGTGACTTTAATGCCCTAATAGGTAGTTTAAACCAAACAGAAAGGCATTTAGGTGGGTATTTAAGTATTCCGGCACAGCGAACAGATAATGGTGATCGTCTGCTGCAACTGTGCTCAGACAATCGTTTATTTTTAGCAAACACAAATTTTAAGCATAAGGAGAGACATCGTCTAATGTGGCGACCCCCTACACCAAACCAACGATGGACTCAAATAGACCATATTGCCATCAGTCATCGTTGGAGAGGGTCGGTAGAAGACTGTCGCTCATTCTGGAGTACCTGTTTGGACTCCGACCATGTCCTAATACGGGCACGCATCTGCTTGCGCCGCACTGGATGCAAAAAAGCCTCCGTTAAAAGATCCATTGGAAGTGAATTGAGTAACGAGAAAACCAAAAGTAGGTTTCAGGAACAACTGAGGTCACAATTAGGTAGTTCTGAAAATGAGGCTGACCCAGATGTTGCTTGGAAAGCTATACAAACAGCAGTGACATCTATCAGTGAGTTAAACCACAGGGTTACAAAGAACCAATGGATTTCCTCAAGGTCTGTTGCACTGATGGATTCTCGTAAACTCATCCTATCAGGCCCTGAACACGATGAGGAGCGAAAACAAATCAGATCTAGGTTAACCAAAAGTCTCAGGAACGACCGTCAGCAGTGGTGGACAACGAAAGCAAAAGAGATGGAAAAGGCAGCGACTATAGGGAACACAATACAGCTCTACAGACTAATAGAAGAAACTGGGATTAATAAGTCAAGTATAATTCAGACTATTTCGGAAAAGGACGACACTCTTATCTGCTCCCAGTCCAGACGTTTAGAACAATAGGCGGAACATTTCAGAGAACAGTTCAACTGGACTTCAGCTACTCTACAACTACCCTCCATTCCCAGACACTGTGAATGGAACATTGAAGTAGATCCCCCAACTCTAGCTGAAGTTCAAAAGGCTATAGTTAATCTGAAACGAGGAAGGGCAGCTGGTCCAGATGGATTGGCTCTAGAGGTCTTTAAGGATGGTGTTCTAATTTTAGCGATTAGGTTGACTAATATTTTAGCTAAGATCTGGGAGTTAGACGTTATTCCATCTGACTGGTCACAATCAATTATCGTCCCAATATATAAGAGAGGGTTAAAATCATCCTATGACAACCATGGAAGGATTATTTTAACTAATATAGTATCTAAAATACTAGCCTCGATAATTATCGGTCGCCTAACTAAGACTCGTGAACTGCAAACACGAGAGAATCAAGCTGGCTTCAGACCTGGTTGTGGTTGCATCGACCACACATCCACCATTCGTCAGGTTCTAGAACATAGGCATACTTATCGGCGTCCGACAATGATGGTCTTTCTTGACTTAAAAGCATCATTTGACTCGGTAAACCGCGAGATTCTGTGGCAGTGTCTATCATTGAAAGGCGTACCACAGTAGTACATAAACCTTGTGAAGGCTCTTTACTCGAACACTATCAGTCGAGTCAGAGCTTATGGCGAACTGTCATCTGCTTTTGCAACTTCAAGTGGTGTCCGTGAAGGCTGTCCGCTTTCTCCATTTTTGTTTAACTTCATCATAGACCTACTGATGGAAATAACATTGTCGTCGACTGAATTCTCGGGTATTGACCTCCTTCCAGGAGGTCCACTTATCGACTTAGAATACGCAGATGACATAGTCCTGTTTGGTGAAGACGCTGACAAAATGCAGAGTCTTTTGGTAGCACTAAGCAACAATGCCAGAATGTTTGGAATGCGCTTCCCTCCCTCTAAATGCAAGTTGTTGCTTCAGGACTGGTCTGTGTCAACACCTGAACTAAGGATAGGGAGTGAAGTAGTCGAAGGCGTCAACAACTTCACTTATCTCGGAAGTCTGATCAGCCCTAATGGGTTGGTTTCTGACGAAATCTCAGCACGGATTCGAAAAGCTCGTTTGGCTTTTGCCAACTTTCGTTACCTATGGCGAACGCGAGATATCCGTCTATCAATAAAAGGACGAGTATACTGCGCGGTAGTTCGTTCTGTTTTACTTTACGGCAGCGAAACATGGCCATTAAGAGTAGAAGACACTCGTAAGCTTGGGCCGATGCATATATGTGCCTGGTCCTACGTTATAGCTGACTGACTGACTGATTATGAAATCCAATTTAATTTGCCTACATAAAATTTACCATAAAGCATTTTACTTAATAGTTCACTGAAAAATATACAATTGAGCTGATTAAGCAACAATTGTAAAATTGCCAATGACTTTCACATTAAACTCCCTCAGAACATATAGTCCTTTAAGTCTTCTATCTGCTTAACTGTTTTGTGAATTAATTAAAATTTTTGTAGCCGATGATGAATTCATTTGTCTTGGTTGCTTGAATCTTCCCATTGATGTTTAGGACTGAAACTGATCAATCTCCTTTTGGGATATGTACATCCTGTGCGGATTGCCTCGATATTGCCTAGAATCACAAGGACTTTAAGCAGAGATGGGTGCTGGTTATCAGTGGAATCCAGGACGTGCGTTTCGTCCCATTTGGGACTCATCAGCTGGATGTACCTGCGCATCATAGAGTTGATGTTCACCATCAGACTCGAACCCAGTTATCTGATGAACTTCCTATAAAGTATTTACATTTATGAGAAAGATTCATAAACAAGCATTTTAGGTGAATATATTCATACTCGGATAGACAAGATTTATGATAGCTATATTTCTATAATATTAAAATCGGAAAAATTTATAATATGGTTTGAGAAACTTGTTTTAAAAAAGGCTACTATACTCCAATAAGTTTTACTATTACTGTTGCAAACTACTTTTGATGTATACCAACTCTTTGCACACTAATTTTAAAGCAGCCTCGAAATCGTAAGACCATTTTAACATCTCTGTTTTTTCATCCGTTCGTTATAGTCCCACCAAGTAGTTCCTACAGGATCGTTGATGAATGTCGAAAAGTACGAAACCTTAGTATTTTAATACCAGTTACTATTTGATAATTAAATGACTGAACGGTGATCTTTGAAACTTTAAGCATTAAATAAATTGCTTCACGATATCTTCTGCAGTCGATTGGCTCAGGAAACGCGTAACTATTCACATTATTCAACAGAAGTATATCTCATCATAAATACATAACCTGAATCCTAGTTTACGTCTATCTAGTGTTCGTTTTTTCCCATCCGACAACTTCCTCACATTTTCGTAGTTTTGCATCACAAATTGAGCCTATTTAGATAACCACTAAGGACTAGGGAGTATTGGACAATCGTATCATCCTTATGAGGGACCCCACCACAGGTCGAAACCTGAACTTCCAGGTCTTGCGGCGAGCACTGAAAATTGAAATTATTGGTTCGGCATCCAATAGTTTACATCCCTAACTTCAATTAATTCATGATACTGCGCAACCTAATTTTAATGTTAGGGTTAAGTAAATTGCCTCACGCCTAACGTAGTTGAACTATACTAGTCACTACTTCTCACCGGAACTTCAGGAGTTATTAAATTCACCATCCATTACTTCCGTATATTTATCTATCACATACATATCTTCATACTCATGAACAATGAATTCATAATAACATGTGCATAGGATATATTTTTTCTAGTGGTGTTTATACATATATATGTATATAATACACACCACTTATCCATGTCTGTCTTGTAATATATAAGTCAGCCTAATAGTGTAGTCTGTCATGGTTAGTCAGCGAGCTAATTAACTTCACCAGTGCTGTACTAATTCTTCGTTAGCCAATCTGTGAAACTCGGTGTATAATCTGTCTCTCCTCTATACATGTAGACACATACATACAGTTGAACTACAAATCAACGTGAAACCGCCTACGTAATTTCATTGTTTTTAATTCTTATTTTATAGACTATAAGGGAGTAGTCGTGTATACAACTAACAGCTAGTTAGTCATCACATTAAACATACTCTTATAAATCTAGTCATTGTTGGGGCAATAACCTTCAAAGCCTAATCTCAAGGTTATCATTATACTCTCTCTATTACAGCTTAATTATAAGTCAGCACAGATAAAATCCATTCTAATTGTTGACAGGTTGTTACTTGTTTGTTTGATTTTTTTTCTAAAAACACAAAGAAATGAATATTGGGTTTCTTTTTGTTTTTTGCTGCTTTTGCCTAAACGAGTTAGCGATGGAGAAAAGTCACTAATGAAAAATACTTGTACACTTGCTAAAGTCAAAAAATAGATGACTATTATTGTCATCAATACAATATCATTAGAACACAATGTGAACATCGTATATACTACGAGAGACAGAGATTTCAACTGTCGAGAAGTCATAGTTTGGTGTAATAATGATATAAAGTCTGAAAATTTTAGGATATGACTCGCAAACAAGTGGTTTTAAGGATTAGACGAAATTGTGCCGATTTTCATGCAATTACAAACTGTTGAAATAAGTTTTGTTCAAGACGTTCCATGTGTTAACCAAGACTGATCAAATTTCAGCCAAAAATACCAACAACGGGATAATCCAAACCATTCCAAATTGGATTATATTTTCCTGTTGAGTCTAGATAAAAGTATGAGACGGGAAATGCCCATCTAATTCCTAATCACTGATTCATTCTCTGACCAACCTCTGAGGGGTACTTCCCAAAGTTCTCGTGCGAAGCCGTGATCGTTAGAGTCCAACCATGCCGATGGTAAGACAAATATTTCTAACTATGGCACTTGATTACAGTCACGAATTAATTGAAGTTAGAAGTGCAGGTCATTAGATGGCAACTCAACGATCTAAAAGTTAAACCCTCACCGCGAGGCCCGAAATCTCTGGATTTGAAACCGTAGTTGGGTCACGGACCCACACTAGTGAGGAGTCTTATACTGGGACAAGTTAGCTGTCCCTTGACTATTGCTTTTTAATTGTCGTTTAACATCAGCCGCTCTACGATGTAAAACTACAAAACTCGAAAACTTCCAGAAACCCCACTGTCATACCACACATAATCGATTATTTTCTTATCGTATGCATTCTATACACTCCGTTATAGTTTCCAAGGTAAATTAACCGTTTACTGCAAATAATTAATTAAATACGGGTCAGTTCACGCGTCATTGAACCACATACTGTATACGTGTTTTCAAAGGCTAGTTTTAGTATTCACTTTGCTAAAACAATATAGGTAGACAGGGTGAACGTGTAACCAATCTTTTTAAAGAGCAAGCAGTTCATTTCCCGAAGTGCTATTCAACCTATTGCTATGATCAAACAATTAATTGGCAAGACTCTCGGTCATAGACCAGGTCGTGGATTTAAACCAGTTGGAATGTCATTAAAAAGCCCGGTTTGTTCAATTCATGTGCTAAGCATAGATTAGTATGCTTAGCTTAGAGCCACACTCTTCTTATAAGGGCTAGTGATGTCACCTGGTTACCCAAACCGAGTTAGGTGTAGCGGAGTCTGGACCTGCGACTTATTGACTGAAGGTCGAGGGTCTTAACCGCTGTGATACTAGAAATACTGAGTAGCTAACTTGATCGTAATGTGCGAATATTCGGCAGCAGCGCGCGCTACTATTCACTCGGGATTGAACCCATGTCACCTTAAGGTCTTATAATGAGTGAGGGCATCACCCTTAGACCATTGCAGTCTATAAGTTTTCATGTTCATATTGTCCCAAACTCGAACGAAACATATGTGTCTAGTGTTTCTTCGTTGTCACTGATATTATCAACCCATTACTAAGGCCAAAAATTAAAATAATCTGACTATAAATTATAACTTATCAGTAGTTAATGGGTGAATAATGAGAATAAAGGTCAATAAAAAGAATAAATGTTTACACAATCTAACATTTTCATAATTACTATACACTAACTGATCAATTATTTCTAATAAAATATTTTCGTTTCTCGCCAGAAATCAATCATTTAGAACAGTCAGCCCGATTTGGTGGTAATAACAACAATAGTAATAGTAATAAAGATGGTTATTCTACGTTGGATTTATTAAGTGGATCGGCTGTTGGTCCTGTGGCAGAATTGGCCCAACTAGCAGCTACACCATGGTCACAATTATTAGATACAAATCGTGCCAGACAACGTGAATTATTATCAGAATGTGAACGGCATAAAATTGCTATCGATCAAGTGGATACCCATTTAGCTAAAACAAAGTATGTGATTATTTAATACTATTATTATTATCCCGTAAGTTTTTTACCGCTAATCATCATTGAACTCATTTTATCGGTGCCAAAGATAATCAACATATTCACAAAAACGAGCTGGAAAAATGAGCCTAAAACCAACTACCTAGCTTAGGGGTCGGGATGGTGGTTAGCAGTGATGTTATTTGATCCTACTCTTTACAGTACCGATGATCTAATAAATGTCATGTCTTGTTGTAAACTAAGTGAAATTTTCTTCGGACATAAGTTTACATCTTATTTTTAGTTCTTCAATTTGAAAATGGTATTCGCTTTGTTTTAGAGGATAAAACTGATATATTGAAAGGCACAAACAATCTAGGGATGATCTGGTATAATTAGTTATAATCAACAAACAACCAACGGAGCAATTGTCCATTAGCTCAAACTGCCCACTGCATTAACTAAATGAAAACGGCCCGGAATATTAGTAGTGCCGGTGATAACGAAACTAGACATGAAGAATATAGTTCAAAAGAAATGAAATCAAGGAATATAAAGTGTCAGACAAAACATTGAAGATAGAAAAATAAAATGTGCCTGCTCCTTTGAGACCGAGTTTGAGCCATGTCATCTAAGGTTTCCTCCAACCATTGATCACAATTATCGCGTGTACTCCGACTAGGTAGTTTAAACTTACTAACACGATTTAGACGAACATTCACTGACTTCATGGAATGGTATTGTCTTTGTCTGTTCCCCTCCCGCAACTTTCTTCTAATCTACTGAAACACCAGACAGCATCGAAGTTGACAGATGATGATTCAGCATACGAAACATTTGTCCCAGGCACCTCAGTCCAAATAAGCTACACTTCACACATCAGAACGACAGGAAATTAAAGAATTTAATTGGTGATCAAAACATTATTATTATTATTCATTTTTGCATTGGTTGTTTGGATCTTCTCATTGATGTTTAGGACGAGACGCACATCCTGGATTCCTCTGCTAGCCACCATCAACTCCCCTTATCATTATTATAATAAGCGAATGAAAATGAAATATATGAATTAAGATAGTGAATTGAATAACCCTATATAGAACAAAGTGAAAAGAAGTGGGGAGACCAATTTCCAGTGTCCTTTTACTTTCACTCGCAAGTGAAAGTCAGTTGTCGACAGTTTGGTAAACTTATCAAAACAATTGAATCAAGTTCTTAGAGTATGTATTGTCTTCAATTCTGAGGGAGTGAACTACCACCTATTTTTTGTTTTCAACAGTATCTCAGAAAAGGACTTTATGTAAACGAATTTGGCTAAGGATATTAGGAAAACTGCTAGGTAGTGGCACAACTGTGCTTATGGAAAAACTTAATAAAATATAACAAAAATCTCACCAACATCTGAAAATACATTTCGGACACATTAGTGAGACTATCAAGCGCATCCTAATTACACGAATTAGTTGATTTCAGGCCTATATAGTTACGTTGATGCTTAGTATGTAATTCAGTCTATATGTCTCCCAATGTTTATCATTCACTTCATGAGCCTCTTGATTTAAAAAACAAGTCACCATAATGCATGCCAATAGTCTAGCATCAGATACACAGTAACCAATGGCACATACTACTTCATTTTCTTTAAATAATAACACCTTAAGTCGAAAATCGAGTGGTCCCACAAACAAAGGTAATTGAATATCATTGACCCTACTTATAGCTGCGGTCGTACTCGGATAAATAACTATGTTCAAAACAACACATATCAAATCTACTGACATAGTATTACTTAGCGACTTTTTTTAGCAAAGTTCTTTTCTACAGGACGGTGTTGCTTAGCCCATGCCCATTTCCCCCCTTTATCCGGACTTGGGATCGGCTGTAGCTCTAGAGGTGTCCCAGGCAGAGTTCCTAACACAGTATACATTAATCGGATATCTGTCGTGTTTTATAGTATACAAACTAAGAATTTCACTAGTAACTAAACCTGCTTGTCAAGGCAGAAACTAGAATCAATCCACAAGGTTACAAAAATTACCTTGTTCACCTTAAAATTTCACTTTAATCTACTACACTTACTACGTAATAGGAACATACAACTTGATTTTTCCTCCATTTTCATTTTTACAACGAAAACAGAATGAATTTATCTCAACTAGAAAATCAAATCAGTCAAGAGTTAAATCAATTGCTCAATGAATTGGAAGGATATAATCAACATAGAAGGTTACTACTGAAATCAGCCGGAAGTAGTAGCTCACAAACTCGTCCTAGAACAACTATCAATAATCCATCAGAGGTGGCAAGCGATGGTGTTGCTGTATAAAATAAATGAATTATACTACCGTCATATTATATGCAAATATTTGAACATAAACACAATAAATATTATCTCATGTAAATTATCTAGTTTCATGAAGGTACAATCTTTTTTTATTTTCATGATAATCTTTTTTCCTAATATACAATATCCTATGCATAAATCCAGTCGTAATGCTGTATTTGTTTACCGATCGATTGATGACCGTCTAGAATAAATGCTTGGGACTATGGTAGGTAGCCTCCTATGGACATTTAAATCATACATTTTTTGTTTTCAGTGATTAAGAAGATATGTCTCTAGCGGGCGATAGTCTAACAATCACTGAGTTGACCATGAAAACCTACAGAGAGGACTATCGAACGTACTTTACATTCAACGGACGGGAGTTTTTACCGTTTTCCCTATATTTCCGTTTGATGACGTAAACAACCCATCCAGACGTTGTAGTGAATAATTCAGGTGCAACGTAGAACCTGCTACCAGTAGTAAAACAAAAGATTAGGCATCGAAGATACGATCAGAGAAAACATAAATTTGTGAAAGAAAATTATAAGGAATTCAGAAGCTTAGAGTTTGGAGAAAAACAAAGGATACATGGGACCCACGCCATTGCAAATGATGTTGATCCGTATCACCCAAGGCTTTTAACCGCCGGTCGCAGTAATCACAAGGACCCCAAACAGGTAGTCTACACATGTTAATGACTCAGTCCAATTGTCAATGATTTCATGGAATAATCCTAAGTTTCGGTCTGGCCATTCTTAGATTTCTTCCAACCTATTCTTACACTAGACAACACCTGTCGAGGTAAGCGGTGGTTAGACATACTTAACACATGTCCCAACTACCTCCGTTGATGGATATCTACTATCTCATCTTTCGATTTACCATCTTTACATGGTACCCTATTCCTCACTCGGTGGTCGGGAAATACATGAGCAATGCTTCGAAGGCATGTATTATCGAGTACTAGGAATGTGAGCATTCTTTATCAGTAGCAAATTTTAAAAAAATAATCTTGTTTTTGCGAAAGATTGTTTCATGTTGGCTGTATATACTGTCACAATTAAATGGGCTAAAGAGTTGTTAACCGTTTTAACGACACCTTTACTTAACCACAATAGGTGCTCACGTGCCCGAATATACAAATTGCTAGAACATCTGTCAATATAACTTGCTCCACAGGAGCAGTTGAATTGATAGATACAGAAAGTAAGTGGTTAGTCTAGGCAATTTATCTTTCAACCCCTCGGAGTGATCATTGAACGTGTAGAAAACATTAATTGTAGTTTACCTGCATTAAAAGTTCTGTGGGTTGATCTGGGTAACTTCAGTCTTAGCATTTCAATAGGTGCATCACTTCTGAATTGTAAGCGTATATATACAGAGGCTTTTTATTCACTGTTAGGCATTGTTTATGCTCTCTTTTATTGGCTATGCTTTTATTTATAAATTTCTCCGGATACTTGTTTTCTTTCAGGGTCGTGTACAATGCCTTTGTTTCATCTTCGACCGCATCTATAGAGCATATGGTCTTGATTCTATGATGCAGTGTCTTAATAAGGTTCCTTTTGTATTGCAGAAGAAGAAAACTAAGAAAGTTTGTGTATTGGCCCATCCGAGTAGTTTTCTTGTTTGTTTCTTCATAACGACCAGTCTTTTCTTCTTGTAAGCAGAACATCTAGAAAGGCTATTCCACGTCAATTTTTTTTCTCACATGTGCATTTTATGGACGGATGAACTGTATCAAATCGCTCAAGCGTTTCTATCAAGTCAATATGGTCGTTACAAAGGATAAACGTATCGTCCATATTTTTATTATTATTATTTTATTTGAACACATAAATATTGGTACAAGAGAGCGCCAATATATATGCGCCACACAAAACAATGGGAATGCGAAGAGAAGTAGAAAGAAAAAAAAACTAAGGAACGCAAAAGAAAAAGAGAGTAATGACGAAGAGGTACAATCAGAAGAAATCTTTCAGGTAAAGGAGACACAACCACTTTTTATGAAGAAAGTAAAAGAAGGTTACAGCAGGATCGCCACTGGCTTCTATTCTGAGCCATATCTGATAACGTCTCTAGCCACTGTGTTGCACCATCTCTCGGACCCCAACCAGGGAGTCGTGAAGGACCAACACAAGCCAGTCCTTTGCAGCTTTCTTTCATGCCACGACACCATGTCATGCACTGACCACCTCTCCGCTTCTTCCAACCAGTCCCAGAGTCGGCAAATAATGCACGACGTGGAATTCTCTGGGACGACATTCGGAGAACATGTCCAAGCCACCGAAGTCGGTGTTTCAAGATGGTGACACCAATTGAGTTATCATCTCTGTGCCCGAACACACGATGCCGAACCTCTGCATTACTGACATGGTGTTTCCACTGAATGTCAGCAATCCTTCGGAGACAGCGATGATCGAACACAGAGAGTCGTCTAACGTCCTCAACTCGGAGAGGCCAGGTTTCACAAGCATAGAGCAAAACTGCTCTCACCGACGCGTTGTAGATCCGGCCTTTTACAGCCAGACTAACATCACGAAGGCGCCAAAGGTGGCCCAGATTGGCATAAGCCGCTCTGGCTTTCACTATTCGTGCATTGATCTCATCACTCACACCCCCACCAGCACTTATGATGCTACCCAGATACACGAACTTCTCAACTACGTCTATCTGCTCACCATCCAGGGTGAGTACAGGATTAGAATCCTGCCAGTCTTGTAGAAGTACTTTGCACTTCGAAGGTGCAAAGCACATACCATACCTACGGACATTGATTGCCAACTGATTAAGTGCGGATTGCATGCCTTGGGCATTATCGCACAGTAAGACAATATCGTCCGCATACTCAAGGTCGAGAAGTCTTTCTCCAGGCAACAGATCCACACCACCATTACTTACATTCATCAGAGCTGTTTCCAGAATGTCATCGATGGCAAAGTTGAAGAGGAATGGTGAGATTGGGCAACCCTGCCTAACCCCACTGCTCGAATGGAACAATGGAGAGAGGTGGTTGTATGCCCTCACTCTGCCTGAGGTGTTTTTATACAGGGCTTTTAGGATGTTAATAAACTTCTCAGGCACACCCTTCTTCAATAGACAATCCCAGAGAACAGTCCTATCCAACGAATCGAAGGCAGCCCTGATGTCAAGAAACACTACGATTGTTGGCCTTTGAAAAGTATGGCGGTGTTCTAACATTTGGCGGAGGGTGAATATCTGATCAATACATCCTCGACCAGAACGAAACCCAGCCTGCTCCTCGCGAGTCAATCTTTCTCGGGTTTTGAACAACCTACGAAGAATGACGGAAGCCAATAGCTTGGACGCAATCGGAAGTAAACTTATCCCCCGATAGTTGTTACAAGAACGACGTGAACCCTTTTTAAAGATAGGGACAACTATCGACTCATTCCATGACGTTGGTACACTCTCTAGATCCCAAACCTTTGTAAACATTGTCGTCAATTCCTTAGTCAAAAAGTCACCACCATCTTTAAAAAGAGCCGGAGGTAAGTCATCTGGGCCAGGTGATTTGTAACGCTTCAAGAGTTGGAGTTCCTTGCGGACTTCCTCCTCATTTGGTGGGTCAGTCGTCACCGGCCATGGAGGGCAGGACAGTCTGACCGATGTTGCCGGAGCAGCAGGCCAGTTGAACTGCCCTTCGAAAAATTCTGCCCATCGTCCAAGACGTCGATGGATGTTAGTGATTGGCATCCCATCATCCTCGCAGATTGTTTCACTCACACCAGACTTCTTGCTGCCAGTGGCTCGGATGAGTTGGAAGAGCTTCCGGTAGTTACCAGATGCAGCTGCTGCTTCCAGCTCATTAGCACGCATCGACCACCAGGCTTCTCGGTCCTTACGCAAGCTTTGCCCGATTTCACTACGTAACATCCTTCGTTTGTGGTCAAACTCACGGTCACCCGGAGTAGAACGACGGGCTTCAATGAGTTGTAAGGAACCAGAAGAAACCCAGTGCTTAAAAGCGGGACGTTTCGCAAACCCACAACTGACTGTTCCCGCCATTTTCATGGCGTCATGCAATTGCAACCAATGCTCATCTATACTTTTCGGTGGAGTGGTAGCTAGCCTAGAGGCTAGCTCGGTTCGATACTTACTTGCAACAGAAGTTGCAACCAGCTTGCTAACATCAATCCGTTGATGGCGTTCACTTCGTTGTCCACTGAAAAGTAAGACAAGATTGGCGCAGACCAAGGCATGGTCAGAGTCCAGATAGGTACTCCAAAAGGAGCGGCAGTCTTGTACACAACCACGCCAGCGGTAGCTGATCGCGATGTGATCAATCTGAGTCCAGGCTTGAGATGCAGAGGGAGGACGCCAGGTGGCACATCGGCGATGACTGTGCCGAAAGTTAGTGCTAGCCAGAAACAGGTTGTGGTCTGCGCAAAGTTGCAGTAGACGGTCCCCGTTATCTGACCTGCGACCAACGAGTCCCCATCGGCCACCTAAACGACTCTCTTCTGTGCCTAGACGCCCGACCTGAGCATTCAAGTCTCCGGCTAGTACTACAATATCTGTCGAACGCACTTTCTGGAGAAGAACTGATAACTGGTGGTAAAACTCATCCTTGATTGCATCCGGGCTGCAATCTGTCGGGGCATAGGCGGAGATGACGAAAAGACATCGTTTCTCACGCCGATTTCTTCTCACTTTGATGGAACTCTCTAATCTAACAGCACATAACCGACTGTTAATGGGGATCCAATCGACTAGTGCTGCCTCAGCTCTAGCGCTTAGTGCGACACCAACGCCAGCAAAACCAGACGAAGATGCCACAGGGTCCCCGGATAAGCGCACGTAAAACAAGCTTTTCGAAGCGACAGATGGAGATCGAATTTGTAGTACTTCGCCAGAGTCTTGAATACGGGTCTCGGATAGACAACACACGTCGATATTAAGACTTTCCAAAGACATAGCCAGCCCTATCTGTTGTCCG